CTTGTTTCTATTCACACACATCATCTTCTACTCAGTGGCACTCACTGCCTGGGATCCTCACAGCCAACAAAAGAATGAACAAAACCCAACTATGTGCAGATTCTGAACTATACCAGATGCTTCTCTCTTTCCTACCACCCTTTCAAGTCTCAGCAGCTAGTTTCAAAGAAAACATGCAAACATACTCATTTCTCTCACCATTTCAACTGACAACTTTATGCAGATTTCAGCTGCAGCCCTTTCTGTGCCAATAGGTCAATGGCTAATGGGGCCATCCACACAAAGGTTGATGCGCTCATTGGTAATCTTCCCCAAAGTTGCTGATTGCTAAATCTTTCTGGCTTCTCCATCATGAATGGGATTGGGTGTGGGGTGGAGGTGAGGAAGAGACAGGGTGAGTTTGGTAAGTTGTGTATTTATAGAGCAAGTCTTCCAGTGCCTACAGGCAGTGTTTATGGTACGTAACCACAACAGAACAGGGGCTGCCATTTGTAGCCACAGCTCCATTCCAAATGTTACCAGGCCCAAAGCCAAATAGCTAAAGGAGCTGTCTACTGTACGGCATAAATCTCAGCCTTCTCTGGGAATAGCCAAGGCTGAGTCACAGGGCACATGTGTAAGGGCATTGAAGACAGAGAGGTGAGCTGTTCCCTGGAGTGATTTGAGAGGCTCCAGGATAACTGCCACCTGCCCCCAAACCCCATCTACCTCTCCCAATCCTGCTGTCCTCCCACTGCCATTCATATTCCCAGAGTCCTGAATTCCACCACTGGAGACCATTTGCTTTGATACCTTAACCTGGGTACCCATTTTGAGTGCAAATTCTTCTGAGAAATATAACTTCCCAGCTGACTTCTTAACCATCCTGAGTGGCTGAGCATCTATGAAATGCTGCAGGAAGAGGCGTAATATGATGCATGTGTTAGTAAATTTAAACTATGTTCTAAAGGCACTCAATTACTCTTTCTTTTACTTTTATCAGGAATTCACACTCTAAAAGTAGTCATCTACATTAACACCAAAAAATAAGAAAAAAATCACCACTCAAGAAGCATCTTCTACAATCACTTTAGTTATCTTAATTTTTAATCAAATCCAGAGACCTGGCTGCTTAGTCTAATAAACATTGGAAATGGGTTTTTGTTGTTGTAATTAGTATCTTATTAATTAGCAGAATGGATGTCAAAAATGGATCATCATGGGTAAGATTACTTGTATTTAACTTATATGGAGTAGCTAAAATATTTTAGATACTCTCTACCCTGGCATGAAGAAGGCAAAAGAATTTATGAGTCCTGAGGCCTGTACCTTAACAATGATGCCTGAGATTTTATCCCTAAATGGTCCTGTTTGGAAAAGAATTAATAGATTTCTGGTGAAAAAATCTCTAAGTTGACCATAAGGTTAACTGAGTCTTTTTTT